ACATTCCATGTCATATACAACAAATCATAATAAAAAGAAATTTTAAACAAACAAAGACATAGTAGCACAGGTTTAAATGCAGACACATACGGCAATGGAGGAGAATGGGGGACCCAGGAAGTGCTGACCCATACAGAAGGAGCCAGATCTTTCTAAGTGTAAAGAACCCTGGGGAATGAACGGCTGGAAAAACTGTATGTTCACATCAACACCAGAAGTCAGACCCCACCTCACAGCACATGCATACTTGAAATCTACATGGAACAAAGTCATGAAGTAAGATGTGAGCCTCACAATTCCTACAAGAAAACACAGAGCACACGTCTCACAACACTGAATTTGGAAATGGTTTCTGGGATATTATATCATCTATAAGATTCATGAAAGAATAGGTAAACTTAATTTCACCAAAAATACCTTTAGTCCTGTCATTGCAGCAATGAGGCTGGAACTACGGATGCCATGCTAAGTGGAAGAAGGCAGCACAGAGGGACACACTGCGTGTCCTCACACGGGGAAGCTGCCAGCTGATGTCACAGAAAGCACTGAGTACTCACCAGATGTGAGGAAGAGAGGAGAGGGTACAGCAGGGCTGGGGGAGGAGGCTGGGTCTCAGGTGACAGGATACACTCAGAGGAGCCAGCACTTCCGCTCTCTGGCACAGTAGGGTAGCCACGGTGTACAGTATGCCACTGTGGTTTTCATAATTCAGCTGGGGAGCAGTCCACAGACACCAAGAAATGGCAGATGTTAACAGATGGAAGAGCTGACGCCCTGATCTGATCATGGCACACTGGAACAGGTGCGCGACTAGCTCACTGCTCCTCGTCCATATGTGTAACTTAAAAGTGCATCAGCATAGAAAGGAAAAATGGTGTCCTCCATGGACACCATCTGAAGATTAAAATGGCACCCCAAGGAATTGTAGAAAATACCTGTGCATCGAGCCTCTGGAGAGGTGTTAATACCTGGAATGAATGAAGAACAAGCCGCTGACAAAGCTCAACCCATCTTCAGGACATAAACACACACATACCTGGCAAAGAATACAACACCCTGAAGAAAGCCACAGGGATCTAGAAAATGTGAGGCTCCACTGCAGGATGAAAGGCTCTCACGGTGACAAAAAGAAAAAGTCAAGGAAGGCTGCTCTCACCACTTCTGACAACACAGCAGAGGTGCTCCCAGGGAAGCCAGGAAGAACACCAAGGTATTCCAGACCTCAGGGCCAACTCACACAGCCCCAGACACTGAGCAAAATCAAGGACTTCGCCAAGCACACAGAGGTGGGCACAGGCTCAGGCTCAGACCCAGACACACTCGCCGGAAGACACAGCAGCCACAGGCACCAAGACGGGAGGAGACAGCACACTCTGCGCCCTGCACCACCTCTCTCCCCATCAACAGCGAACACCAGACATGGTGCCCAACTGACTGGTTTTGCTGGATTCCTGCTCCCTAAAACCTCTACTGCAAGTGGAAGGGGACATCGGATGGGCTTTCATCACTGCAGTGCCTACCAGAAAGCCTGCTACAGGGCGGAGATCAGTACCTCAGAAGTGGTGGGGCTCTGACACACACAAAGGCACAGAGGGAGGCCTCCCACAAATGTCCTCACAGCTCACATCCACTCAACTTTCACAGGTTTAAGTGACCAAGCCCATCTCCCATGTCACACTGTGGCTCCAGGATCCCAAATCACTTCACAAAGTTGGGGTAATCCAAGTGATTTCACAATGGAGGCTCTCATGAAATCCTTTACTGCAAAGTTTACAGTAGAAATATAAATGATTTTGAAAACCTGTAAACACCCAAGAGGTAGATCTGTTCCCAAGGTCAGCAGTGAAAAATTAACACACAAATTTCAATAAAAATCAATTTAAAATAAAAAAAGTCAACTTCTGTACACATGAAATACTGAAATGCAATTAACACAAAACTTCATTTACAATAGCACCACAAGAATAAATATAGAATAATAACATAAGAACATACAATACATACATAATAACTAACACACCAAAAAAGTATAAAACTTATTTCCTAAATCGCAACACTTGTTGGAAGAAGCTCAAGATGCAAACAAAAGAAAAACCATCCCATGCTCATGGACCAAAGTTTTAACATTATTAATGTGGTGATACCTTCAAAAGAATCTACAGATTCTATTTACCAATGAAATCCTAAGTGAAGATTTCTTTTTAGAAATTGAAAACATCATATGACATTGCAAGGGACTGAGAATAGCAAACAACTTTGAAAAAGAGAAGAGCACTTTGACTAGCACGTCATGAGCACAAAACTTACTTCAAGTCAACAGTAACCAAGGGTGCAGAAATCACACCAGGAACACCATGTAGATGACGAATGACAACAGTTGTGGGGAGCAGGAGGTCACCAAAACAGCAGTGGAGCAGCTCCACATAGAAACCCAGGAAAACCTGCAGGACCACTGTGATGCTACAACAGCATCAAATCTCACATAACTGCAGGATGCACCTCAGTGAAACACGGCTGGAAGCTCTGTGGAAGTCTTACGTGTCCTTGCTGCAAACCTGGGGACTCAGCACCATCCTGCAGAGAGCAGCCAGAGTGCCCAGTGTAACATCAACACGCTACAGTGACAGTCATCACAATCCACAATATGCACGGTACTGAGCTAAACCAGGTGCCCATCAACAGATAAAAGGATAAAGAACATGTGGTACACAAACACAATGGAATTTCACTCAATGCTAAAGAATGAACTTATGCCACTGGCATGAAAATGGGTGGAACTGGAAGACAACATGCTTAGTGCAAAAAGTGAGAGTCAGAAAGCCAGCTGTTGAATGTTTTCTCCCATATGTGGCAGCTAGAGCAGAATCAGGGAAGAAGTGGGGTATGAGGGATCTCATGAAAGTAGAAGAGAGATCAATACAGTAGACCAAGGAGACTGAGAGAAAGGGAGGAGGGTCAGGAAAATAGAGTAAGAGTAGAATAAAACTGAACAAATTATGCTGTGTGCATGTAGGAATATATAACAAAAAATTCCATTATGTTTCTCTATAAGGCATTAATTTGAAAAAAAAAAAACTATAAATAAATAGGAGGAAGGCCAGTAGCATAGAGGAAAGGAAACAGGAAGAGAGTAGGAGAGAGAAAGAGGAGTTACTGGCATCTGAAGTGGAGAACATTACATCCCATGCTTGCATGTTATGTAATAACTGAACCACAACATTAGCCAGGCACAGTGGTGCACAGCTGCAATCCTAGCAACCCAGGAGGCTGAAGCAGAGGATGAAAGTTTGAGGTGACCCTCAGCAAAGTAGAAAGGTCCTAAACAATTTACTGAGACAGCCTCAAAATAAAAAACACAAAGGGCTGGCAATGGGGCTCAGTGGTAAAGAGTTCATTCACTCCCTGTTGGCAAGGAGATAAATAAATAAAACAAACCCCAATATTATGTATAACTAATCTACTAATAAAATCAGAAAGAAAATAGAAAGCCAAAGAAGGGTATAATTTGAGAAAATACCAGTGTAAGCAATACCCTGGGTATGACACTCAATACCACAAAGGACATGAAAAAGACACCATAGCCTATTAGGGACTTTTTTCTTAAATTCCCAAAATATGTCCAATGAATGAAATGATAACAGAAAAGACTTTTCAAAAAAAAAAAAAAAAGAATATTTCACCTTGCTCACCCCTGAATAAATACATTTCACATTTAAGGAAAACCTGAGTCTCAAATAAGGAAGCATTCATTTCAAAGTGAGGAACACAGAAAAGGCTGGGGCTGAGGGAGCACAGATGTCTCAAGCTCAAGGAGCAGGTAAGGTCCCTATGAGCTGGGCATCCTCCCACCTGGTCCTGCTCACTGAAACACTCCATGATCCAGGAGACCTGGACCATGACTCCAGTCTATGAGGCTTTTCAGGTTTGCACAGCACTGCACTGGAGTGGGTGGTCCTTATGCTCTGGGAGAGTTTTCCTCCTATACAACTATGAGAGAATGCAAGGGCAGGAATCACTGCTGACCTGGCCCCTCAGCACCAGCATCCACAGGCTCACTGTCCACCTGTCTCCAAGGGATGGGAACAGGGCTTGGGGGAGACAATATCGCTAGGAGGGATCTGTCTAGATGAGGCCTGTTCTAGCACATTCCTCAGCCAATGGGCCCCCAGCTACTCTCCTGAGAGTCTGTACCCCATACCTCAGGTTGCCCTTTAGAAGGAGGTGACCCAGGGCCTAAAATTCCCTGTACCCTGCAGGACACAGGACAGCTTTTGGTACCCAGAGGTAGCCCCAGAAAAGGACAGGACAGTGGCTAAAGAAACAGGACCCCAGAAGAGTACAAAAGAAACTCCTACACAAAGACATCCTGGCATCTCTGGTGGGGAAGGTAAAGGAAGAGAGACAGGAAGTTGTTTCACAGTGGAGCTCCGGGTGACTCTGCACTGCTCTCACCACAGGGCAAACTCATCAACAGAAGACACATCTTTGAGGCTGTGCCCACTTGAATGTAGTGTGAGGAGCAGAAAGTTGATAATGCTGTGAGCTGGAGAAGAATGTGGATTCCAGCAATGTCATCAAAGAGCAGAAATTTTGAAGATCTACTGAGAGCCCTAGCAGGCCCTAGATGGGGGAAAGCAGGGTGACTTTTGGGGAAGGAAGGACAGGGACCCCTCAAACCAGCATCCTTCACACAGGAGACCCACACCCGAGGCAGGATCCATGAGGTCCTCTACCTTCACTGCACACTAAGGGGCTGGGACTGAGGTCCAGCTGGGCATAGAGGGTTCTTCCAAAGATCAGGCAGACCAGGCAGCACACTGGGAACCCACCATGGACCAGCCCATACCATAAGCTGAAGGCATCAAGGGCTGAGCTATAGCAGCATCTGACTCTGGAGCCGACAGTTGGGAGGCCAGAGTCCAGCCACAGATGGTTCCCACCAGTTCTAAACAGCCCACCTTCCCCCACCCCTGTGATCTGACTTGGCCCCACACACTCACCACTTCCTGCCTTCTGAGGAGTCCAGACATCCTTCCTATGGATCTCAGCAGGTGTAGGTCACAGGGAGACAGATCTGAGACACAGCCACTTGGGCCTCATGCAGCAGAGAAGACACAGTCCTGGAGATGCACAGGGTGAGAGATGAAGGCCTCTGAGACTGTGGAAGACCACCCCCTCCCACCAGCTGTCTGCTACCTGCCCAGGGTTCATAAGACCCCTGCATACCCCAGCCACATACACAAACTTGGGGCCCTGAGTGACAGGAGATGTAGCCGAGTCCTGGGTAAATAGGCCAGAAGGACAGAGTCTTGGCAAAAGTCCTTTTTAGACAGCATTTCCTCCCTGCAAGGGGACCTGCCCCATCAGAGGGACATTTCCACTTAGGCAGGGCTGAGACAGCTCTCCACAGCCGGCTCTGTTGTCTTCCTGCTCCTCTGGGCACAGAAACACAAGCATGTGTGAGGAATTACAGCCTTGGTGTTCAAGGCAGCCAACCCTGACCTCAGAGAAGGTAGGTGCCAGGTGTGGCCAGAATGGAAGGGAGGGAGACAGGCATCTATCACTTGAGAAGAAGCCAAGGCTGCATGGCTAAGGCCTCCTCACACTTTCACTCTCAATCAACTCTTTTTCTCCCAAGAAAATAAAAAGACAATCAGGAAATACAATTAATAAGTGCATGAAAAACTAATTATATGGCAATAATAAAAAAGAATTCAATGAATGGAAAAGCAAGCCCTTGAACCACCTCAAGTAAGGAGACTGCTTCACCCACAGTACAGAATGAAAACCCACTTGCAGAGAGGTAAGCACATTCCCAAGTTGGGAGCCAGGCTCTGACAGCTGGCCCCTAGAGGACTCATTCCCTGGTGGCCAGGAGGGGACAACTAAGTATTTCTCTCTTGAAACCCATCATGCCCCCCGTCCTATAGGTTTTCTGAATAAGAAGACAAAGAAATTCCAAAGGAAGAGATTGATACACTCACATCTATGAAAAATGAGGCTCCTGCATGAAACAACAAAAGGGTACAAGAAGGTTGCCCTACCTCAGGGGAAATGTCTTCAGTCTTTACAAATAAAAATAAATTCATGTTGAGGGAATATTAAAGGAAAGAAGAAATTACCTCACAAACGAATTAAATTTGAATTGAGTTTTAACTGAATTACATTTTAGAAAATTACTGAAAACCTTTCCAAGAACATGAAAATACACAAAAAAATGCTCACAGAAATAGTATTCAGTAAAAAGCAATGTACATCCACATGGAAGTAAACAAGAACAGACATGTATTAGAGATATGCACACAAGGATTAAAGGCCAGAGAGCTGATCCATACAGTGCAATGTAGTTTATCCATAATCAATAGCCTGATGATTTCCCAATGTGTACAACATAAAGTGTGCATACTTAGGGGCCAAATTTTTAAAAAAGAATGGAATTATCAAGAACATAAAAAATTACACTCAAAACAAGTCAGGGTCCCAAAGCAAAAACAGTGGAGGGACCTGGGAGAACCACAGCCTAAAACAGCAACATGAGTCTAACCAACTGAGACAGAGACCACATACTACATGTTACGGTCCCACAGTAATAGGGTACTAATGGTAACACAAAGTTATTGAAAACTCAAATAAGACAAAACCAAGTAACATTCTGCTTCCTCACACATGGGTAAACAACCAGGAATGATAGAAAGAATCGGCACTGTCCGCACCTTCAGGAAGAGGTAGCAGAGACCAGGGCAGCCTGCCCAGGGCCAAGTCATCTCTGTTTGGGTGGGGATATATGGGAGTTTAGAATCTGACTACACTGAGCATTAAAAATATATTTCAAAGGGCTGGGGATACAGCTCAGTTGGTAGAGTGCTTGCCTCACATGCATGAGGCCTTAGTTTGAATCCCCACCAGCACCACACACACACACACACACACACACACAATTATATCAAGAACTCTCAGTTCTTCTTTACATCAAATTACTCTATCCAAATAAATGTTAACCAAGAACATAAAAATACTAAGTTCAATGAAGAAATGAAATTCCTGGCCAGGCATGGTAGGGCACACCTATAATCCCAGAAGCTATTGAGGCTGAGGCAGGAGATCATGAGTTAAAGTTGGCCTCAGCAAAAGGGAGGCACTAAGCAACTCAGTGAGACTGTGTCTAAATCAAAATATATATATATATATATTTTTTTAAAGGTGATAAGGATGTCAATCAATGGTTGAGTGCCCCTGAATTCAATCCCCAGTACCCTAGAGGGGGGAAAAAAAAGGTTCCTAAGTACTTGGGGGAAAACTGGAATTTTGTGGCAGTAAGAGTTGATAAAGGCTACATCAGAAGCAAGCTCAGATAAGCAGCCTGTCACCCCCAGTTCTCCAGGAACCCCGCTTGGTAGCTAAACACATTCCCAAGCATGGGGACAACTCTCACAGTGAATGCAGCCTAGGTGGCTCCTCCTAGGGAATGAGGAAACCTGAGCAGCTGGACATTTGGTTCTGGAAGGTAACTGTGCTCTCCTCTCCCCAGAGTGAAATGTTCCATCCTGCAGGACCTCAGTTCTCACTGACACCCAAGCACCCACCATCAGGCACATGAGGGCCCTCACCTATGAGGCCTTTTCCCTGAAACTCCTTATGACACCTAAAACGTGAGTCTGATGAACACCAATCCATTCTCCAAAACCACTGGTCATTCAACAGTTAATTCTGACACCAACAGGGTCAGCACAAACCCTGGTTTAGTGTCAGCTCCACTGCCCCAGTATGGATGCCAGGTGCAAGGCAGCCAGCCACACTGCTGCGAGCAAAGAACTACTAACTGGGGACTTCCATCACCCCCTCCTGAAGTTCAATGATTTGATTTTAGCAAAGCACATCACTTACATTCAGCTTACTATAAAGGATACAGCTTATGATTGGCCAAAATAAAAAGATATGTAAAAAAAATGGAAGAGTCAAAGAGAATTCTGGGAAAGATCTATGAAGAAAATCTCTTCCTCTGAATTCTGCTATAGCAATTCTGCACAGAGACCCCTTTCCCATCCTGACTTTGAAGATGCTTCCCTTTTTTAAAAAAAAAAAATTATTTTATTTATTTATTTTTATGTGGTGTTGAGGATCGAATACACTGCCTCACAAGTGCCAGGCAGCACTCTACCACTGAGCCACAATCTCAGCCCCATGAAGATGCTCCCTTTTTAACTCAGACACCCTCTGATACTAAAAATCCCTCCCCTATTTTTTCCCCCTCATAAGCAATTAGGGGAACAGTTTTCTCTTCAGGAATCAGAACAAATACTTGTTAATCAAACTTGACTTAAGTTTCCCTCCTTCCTCCAGGACCCTGAACTCTGACCCACTGGCACCTGGAGACAACATAGGACCCTTCTTCCTGGTGCCTCTTAAGAACAGGCTGACTCCTCGCTGTCCTCCCCTCCAGCTTCTTCCTAACCCTGTTTGCCCCTCTCTACGACACAGCCCTTTTCTGCAGGAGCTGTGGGTGCTTGCAGAGCTCACCTGTGGTTTCCCCCCCTCCTGCTCCTTTAGATAAGTTGCTTCTCACCCAAATCTGCACTTGTTTCATTGCACACTCTGGGATCAATATGCACCCTCAGAAAGGGGCTCCCTTTAGCCTTCCGATCCGGTCCCCCACCACATCTGCCTGAGGATCCCCAGCTTTCCAGAGCTCTGTAGCTTTTCCGTATAAGGGAGCCTTCCAGGGTTGGTGTGAGCAGCCTGGGCCTCTGCAGGAAAGGCTGCCCAGAAAGCTCTGACTGGACCTTCAATGACCTCCTTTTGCAGAAGGAAGTCTGGCCTTGAGTTACAGTCACTGGGATCAAGGATCTCTTCTTCTCAGTTAAGTTTTCTTTTCTTTTTTTTAAACATTTATTTATTTATTTATTTTTATGTGGTGCTGAGGATCGAACCCAGGGGCCTCACATATGCTAGGTGAGTGCTCTACCGCTAAGCCACAACTCCTAGCCCCTCAGTCAAGTTTTCAATCAGAAGAGATTTGGTGTTTAGAGAACCCAGTAAAATCACTCAAACTTTATGTCTGTGTTTATCAGAGGAACAATTTTAAACACTCACATTTAAATACTTCAACAGGAAAATCAAAATTATTCCTTTTCAGACAATAAACATGTTACTCAATGCTATATCCAAGATAATATTTGATAATCATCACAGGTGACTATTATTAGGAATTAACTAGTTTTGGTCAACAGAATCAGTGTTAAACATTCACCTGCAGTTCACAGGGTACAGAACAGACCCATCCACTGCCAAACCACTGCAAACTACAGGAGTGGATGCTTTGGTGAATCTCTGTAATGAGCCAATTCATCTACCACAATGGGTTGGGGAAATATACTCACTTTCTGCAACCATATTAGAAGAAATCTTCCCTGTTTCTTTTCCCAGGTAGCATCCAAAAGGCCAAGCCCTGGAATTATAGTTTAAACCACTCTTCCATCCCCATTGCAAAAAAGAACACATCTAAAGGGAGAAAAAAAAAATGTACATAAAAATTTTTGACTAGCCAGGTGCTATAGTGCAGGCCTGTAATCCCAGTGACTCCAGAGGACGACATAAGAACCCAAGTTCAAAACCAGCCTCAGCAATTAGCAAGGCCTTCAGCAACATAGTGAGGTTGAATCTTTGTGATAAAGATACCAACTTCTTGGGGCTGGTATTGTAGCACAGTGGGGAAGCACTGCCTTGCAAGTGTAAGGCACTGGGTTCGATCCTCAGCACCACACTAAAATAAATTAAGATACTGTGCCCATCTACAACTTAAAAATATATATATATATATATATATATATATATATATATATAACAAATTGATATATACATATATATGTATATACCAATTTCTCTACCACACTTTCATCTGGAAATGCATGCATTTCTGCAACCACACTGAAACAGAGGTTTTCACTGATTCTATTCCCAGGTATCATTCCCAAAGCAAAGGCCTGCAGTTCTAATTTAAATTTGCAACATGCTCCCCTGCAAAAAAATAGAAGTCATCCAAGAAATGCAGTAAACTCACTCTGGGGAAGAAAAACAGTACGTAAAAATTTTTAGAGAGGGGAATATAAGACCTAATATTTGTGTGTTTTTCTGTTTTTTTCTCTTTTCCCCCCTGCCTTATACCTCTAGCTTATCCTTTGGAAATATTTTCTAATCAGCTCTACTAATAAGCTACACTTTACAATTACTGAAAAACTGACCCTAAAGTAAGTGGGCAAGTCTTTCCAAGGCAACAAACCCAGGGAGCTGCAGCACCACCGGACACTGACCTGTTAGACTCTAGCTTCAGGTCAGGCCATTTGTCACCAGGCACATCCTCCCAACCCCCACCTGCTGCTGAAGAGCTTTGTAGCATTTTGTTCCACCTTGCTGGGATCAGTTTCCCCTGCTCTTTGGGATAACTGTTTTCCTTCAAAGCTCTGAGTGCACCCGGAGGGCAGAAACCATGTCTGTCATGTTACTTGAACACCAGCATCTCACTGCCAGACCTGGATATCTCCAGCTGCTCCCCTGAGAGGCTGCACCCCACACCTCAGGCTGCCCTGTAGGAGGAGGTGACCCAAGGTCTGAAATTGCCTGCACCCTGCAGGGCACAGGGTAGCTGTGGGCAACTTGCAGCAACACCAGAAAAGAACAGGGCAGTGATTGAAGACATAGGTCACAATGTGGTGGCCAAAGGATACCTATGCCCAAAGACAAGGCACGGCCAAGACAAAGGGAGGCATAAATACCTTTTAAAAACAAGTTCCAGGTAATTCCTCTCTGTTTTCCACTCCTGGGAAATGTTTACCCATATTTTTAAAATAAAATATTTTAAACGTGCCATTCACTAATAGGAGAAACTACCACAATTAAAACACTATGAAACAAATAGTTGGCAAAGCGTGCACTGGAGGGTGCAGCTGGCATCTGGGAATGCGGGAGGGAACTGGAATTTCAGGTTTCTGCTGCCAGTCTTGGAAGGAGCCAGGCTTTGAATGGAAAATGGACTTGATACCCTGTTTCCTGCACATTTAGGAGTATGTGTCTGTAGGACGTACAGGTTAATCCTGGGGAGAAACAGGGACAGACAGGGACCCCTAAGGCTAACAGAGAACACACCTGAGTCCAGAACCCTGACACCCTCCCCTGCTCACCACACACCCTGGGAGCATCAGGCCACATGAGCTGGCCAGAGCTGACCCAGGGATGTCGCCAACAGGGAGGAGAAACAGAGGACAAGGATCTGTTGCCCAGCCCACCCATGGGACAGGGGCCCAGGGCGACCTGCCACAGAGAACTCGGCCGCGCTCTGCAGTTTACCTTAGGGACACGCCACCAAACTCACCCGCAGACCCAGGATCCAGGGCCACCCGCCAATGCAGACTCGAGCACGCTCCGCAGCTAACCTCAGGGACCTGTCATCCAACTCATCCCGCGGGCCCAGGGCCACCTGACAGTGGGGAATCCGCCCCACGCTCCGTAGCTCACACCACTCGGGTCCCCAAGGCAGGTGGTGACCGGGTCTCGCCAGTCCTGGCCGCACACTCACCGTTTTGGGCCACCGGGGTGACCCGCCGTCCTCCGGAGGAATATCCCGGGTACCCGAGCTCGTCGGGGACTCAGGCTAAGCAGAGGACCTGGGGATTCGGGAAGAAGACGCGGAAGCAGTGGGCGAAGAACTCAGCGAGCAAGGAGGAAAACCCCGCGAGAATACGGAAGCCCGCCCCTCCCCGCCTTCTGCGCACTTCATTGGATAGTTCCTCCCCGGCGCCCCTGATTGCCAGGCTCCGCGCACCGCCCTAGTCTTGAGTGACAACTTACGTCACCCAATCGGTGCTGTACTCGGCCCGAATGACAGGTTCTTGGTCCAGCCCCCTTTCCAGACGGGACTTCCCTGCAGTGCGGGGACCTGAGCGCGGCAGTAGCGCTGGGATCCCACCGGGCGTGGATGGCTGGATCTGAGGAGCGCCGTGGGCTGCTCCGCGGCGCCCGCCCAGTCCGCAGCTGTCCCACTGAGAGCTTCCCATTTAGCCAGCTGGCGTCTGTTCCCTGCCGACTCGAAAGGGAGGCGAGGGACCGGGCAGGGCGAGCGAGCAATGAAAGACGAGACCGGGCCGACTCCGACGGAGCGTGTTTGTCAGCGCTGACAAGTGAAGGCCACCTCCCCACCGACTGGGAGGACGCAGCTGGGGTTGGGGACTTCTGGGGGGCAAGCTCGAGGATCCGAGCTGGGCGGGTGCTCCCGCGCGGTGAAGGGTGGGGCTGGAATGGGGGAGTGCTAATCGCCCTCTGGCTGGAAGGAATGTGGGCGGTGGAGGGTGGGGTAGTGTTAGCGGGTGGTGAGCCTTTTTCGGGTGGGAAGGAAACTTTTTCTTAACGTGGCGGCTGTCACGTCAGGTGCTAAGCAAGGACCTTACAACGGGAACCCTAAATCTTCAGCTGTATCCACTGTTGACCTCCAAAGTTTAAAGGTATAGGTACTGCCCTGTGCAGAGGCCCCCACACCTGGAATCCCAGCGGCTCAGGAAGCTGAGACAGGATTGAGAGTTCAAAGCCAGCCTCAGCAAAAGTGAGGCCCTAAGCAACTCAGTGAAACCCTGTCTCTAAATAAAATACAATAGGGCTGGGGATGTGGCTCAGGGGCTGAGTGGCTGTAAGGATGGCCTTAGGCCTTAGCCTAGGCAACTCCATTTTAAAACTCTAGTTTGAAACCTGCAGTCTCACCAGCACACCTATGGAGCTCTCCAGTATGGCCCTCAGACCCAAACAAGTCACTTCTCCCCACCCTGACAAACTCAGGGTGAACTCTTTGGCATGTTGCCCTCTGCCTGATATGAGCAAGAAGCAAGAATATCAGGGTGGGGACCACCAGACCAGATGCTTTAACCTCAGGAGGAATGACATCACTGAGAAATCCTGTAGCAGCTGATAGGGATTGACAGATGGTCAAAAGCCCAAAAACTTTGTATAAATGATGGAGCAAATGAACATTCAGCCAGCTGACACTGATGCACACAAGTCTGAGAGCCTGATGAGGACCTGGACTGACATCCCAGCTCTTCTCATCTGCCTGATCTTCTGCATTATTCTCACCTCTCAAACTCTACAGCAGTCTCTGGACTCTGGTGAGAAAAGGACACCTCCCTGTGACCGCCTCCTCAGGCAGCCATCAGCTCCACCCCAGGAGAAGCTTGCCTTGGTTCGTGACCTGATCACTGTTGTCTGAGTGAGTACACCTTCTGGACTTAAAGCCTAAGGCTTCAGACTTTTGATCTGACACTCAAGCTTAGCACACAGGGGGAATGTCTGTAATAAGTCTGCCGTGATGAGGTGTGTTTGCAGTGTTTAGAATTGTTTGCTTTGAATTGATTATGTCTATTGCAGTGCCTAGCATTAAGGATTGTCATTTTCTTGATTAAGAACCTATAGAGTGAAATTGTATTGAGTGATTTGAGTGAATAAAGCATTGAAAAGGGCAGAAGCAGTGGACATTCTTTATTTCTCCTCCTCAACTGCATAAGTCGCACCTTTCACCCATCATGACAGTGGCACTGAGTTCAATCCCCAGTGCCATAAATAAATAAATAAAGGTATATTTCTTGAAGGATATGGAGAATAAGTCCAAGGATACATCCCCTCCTCTGCAGCTGTTCCCACACCTGCCTTCTCTGGGGTAAAATTGAAGCTTGTGTCATTTAAAAGCCCAGACCTCAGACAAAGGGAATGAACACAAAAGGAACTCACACCTGACCACTCCACCCTAATAGGTCATCTAACCTCAAAACAAGCCACAGGAAATTCCCTATCCACACTACAGTGCCACCCTAATGAATCAGCAATAAAACATAGACCCTTCCTTTAGCCAATAGGCACCACCCCCCCACCCACCCAAAAATGAACCACAGCAGATATTTGACCTATTGACACCATCTCTGAATAAAGAGAAATTTAGAAATCTGAGAAAATTGTTCCTTGCAACTCTGTTAAGAGTTGATTCTTTTCTCCTAGGAATTACATAGTTTATCATCTAATTGATAGGCCTTTCATCCATTTTGAATTCACTCTGTACAAGTCAGAGACAGAGATCTACAAATGGATAATAACAAGTTTCCTAAGCATAGTTTTTTTTTTGTTGTTGTTTTTGTTTTTTAATAAAGGATGTCCTTTTTTTAATGCATTTGGCATACTTGTACAGGATCAAATAACAATCTGTGTGGGTTTGTCTCTTTGAATTCTATTCTGATCCATTGGTTTGTCTCATTTCTCTGGTTGAATGTGTTCATGTTTTAAGAACATTATATCCTCAAATTTCTGAGATTTACTTTACAAATTTCTTAAACTAAGTAAAGTATTATTATTATTTCTTCAGTAGTTAGCTCATTTCAAACCTAATGATTCATTTTTCATGTTAATAAATTACTGAAATGTGGATTAAATGAATCATCTGATCATACAGCATATTTAGTCCCTCAACAAATTCCTTGTTGCTCATCCCCAAATGCAATTTTTGTTTACAGTAGTTTGCCTTTGAATATACAGGAATGAAATTAGCATACAAACCAGAATCCATGGTTTGAGCAAGTAGCCTTCAGGATTTGGATGTGGGTCTCATCTTCTGAGATATTGTTCTCCATTGCTCTAAGCTCAGTGACCACACCAGGAAATTGAAAACCAGCTCACATATATGAATAATGTCCACACCATCCCTCCACCTGCTGCCCAGATTTGAGATTGTCAAAAATTTTCTCCAATACCCTACCCCAATATTATTCTCAATTATTCCTCAGAATAATTGAGAATAATTGTCCTATAAGAACAGGGACATTTACTCTGATGCTGCCTCAAAAGACAAATCCTTTAAATCCTTCCCACTGTACTGGCCCCTGAGTCAGGGAGGGGCACAGTCAGTGGGCCCTCCCCCCATCTCTTTCCACTTACCATTTTGCCGCCTCTTACCTTTTGCCTTCCCACACTTCTCCAAGAGACAGACAGTTTGACCTGTCTAGTCACGGGATTGCAGCACACTGGGAACCTACCATGGACCAGCCCACACCATGTCCTGAAGGCATCAAGGGCTGAGGTGTAGCAGCCTCTAACTTGGGTCTGGGTTGGTTGACTCTGGAGCTGACAGTGGGAGGTCAGAGTCCAGCCACAGCTGGTTCCCACCAGTTCTAATCAGCCTACCTCCCCCACCCCCATCCCCCTCCCCCTTTTTACACCTGAGAAAACAGGCTTTTGTGTATGTATTTTTAAAACATTGATATTCATGGACTATTAGGCAGAGAACTTTTTAAAGGAAGTATAGAAAATATAAGTATACCTATCCATAATACATCCAGCAGCCCTTCCCACAAAGCCAGGCACTTTGCTCCCTGATTGTCACGTCTTATTCTATTTTGTGCATTTAAAAACTCAAAAGAAGTTTGTCCTGTACCAATACACATTTCACAAGAGCACACTGATGGTCAGACAGCAACAATGACAATCCCATCATATGGAAAATAGGTAAGCTTTAGTCAGGTTTTTTGCTGCTGTGACCAAAAGATGTGGTAATGATTTTAAAGGAGAAAAAGCTGGGGGCTCGTTGTTTTAGAAGTCTCAATCCATAGACGGCTGGTTACATTCCTTAGTGCTCAAAGTAAGGCAGAACATCATGGTGGAAGAATGTCGTGGAGAAAATCAGGTCAAGGCATGATCACAAAGCAAAGAGAAACTAAGCCTCAATTCAACAAATACATACTCAAAACCATGTCTCCCATGACCCAACTCCTCCAGCCACAGTTTACCAGCCTACAGTTACCACCCATTAATCCCTATCAGGGATTAATTTGCTGTTTGGGTGAAGGCTCTCAGAAACCCACTCATTTCACCTCTAAACTTTCTTGTACTGTCACACATGAGCATTGGGAGGACACACCTAACATCTACACTGTAACAAGGTGGCAGTCACTACTATCACTTCATCTACTGAAGTGCTGGTCTGGTGAACACGGGACGGTGATGAAGCCCTGTGTGAGCAAAGGAAGGAATTGAAGATGGTCCTATCTTGGTGTTTTAGTCAGCTATTTCACTGCGGGGCCAAAAGGAACAAACCAAAACAGTTGTATAGGAAGAAAATTTATTTGAGGGCTCATGATTTCAGAGGTCTTAGTCCATAGAAGACCAGCTCCATTCCTTGGGGCCTGAGGTGAGGAAGTACATCATGGTGGAAGAGTGTGGCAGAGGGAAGCAGCTTACAAGATGATAAGAAAGTAAAGAGAGACTCCACTCTTCAGATATAAAATATATCCCCCATAGCCATGTGTCCATTGAACCACTTTCTCCAGCCACACCCCACCTACCTCCAGTCACTAATTAATCCCATCAGGGATTAACTCACTAAGTTAATTCCTCCTCCAAACCTTCTTGCATTTTCTTACATGTGAGCTTTTGGGGGACACCTCACATCCAAACCATAATTGATGGTTCCAGCCAGTCTACCAAAGTCTCCTTGTGCCTGGCTGGAATGTCACACCATGCAGATCTTTTACAGGTTCATGGAAGACTTGCTTCACACTGGAGAGGATCAAGAGGCACACAGAGTTAGTGACAACGCCATGAGCCACAAGAGGATGAGGATCAGGATTCAAACGAGTAAGGCTCAACATTTCCTATTTGTGTATGTGAAGGACAAGGTGAAAAAAAAATTCAAAATAAAATCTGATGTGTGGAACAGAGGACGAAAAAACAATTAGTATTTTCTTTCTTTTTTTTTTTAATTTTTTTTATTGGTTGTTTAAAACATTGTAAAGCTCTTGACATATCATATTTCATACATTAGATTCAAGTTGGTTATGAACTCCCAATTTTACCCCAAATACAGATTGCAGAATCACATCGGTTACACATCCACATTTTTACATAATGCCCTATTAGTAACTGTTGTATTCTGCTACCTTTCCTATCCTCTACCATCCCCCCTCCCTCCCCTCCCATCTTCTCTCTCTACCCCATCCACTGTAATTCATATCTCTCCTTGTTTATTTTCCCATTCCCCTCACAACCTCTTATATGTAATTTTGTATAACAATGAGGGTCTCCCTCCATTACCATGCAATTTCCCTTTTCTCTCCCTTTCCATCCCACCTCATGTATCTGTTTAATGTTAATCTTTTCTTCCTGCTCTTCCTCCCTGCTCTGTTCTTAGTTGCTCTCATTATATCAAAGAAGACATTTGGTATTTGTTTTTTAGGGATTGGCTAGCTTCACTAAGCATAATCTGCTCTAGTGCCATCCATTTCCCTGCAAATTCTATGATTTTGTCATTTTTTAGTGCTGCGTAATACTCCATTTCAAAGTGTTTTGTTAGCTGTGTATCAACAGCACTTACCAGTATTCAAAGTCATCATGAAGAGCCTCATAACACTTGAGTTCTTGAAGCCATCCCCAGCGTAGACAGAAAACAGACCTGTGAGTGCCCAGTGTATGCTCCACAGCAACCATGCTGAGAGCCACCCAGAGCTGTAACTGGGTGGCCCTCCCTGTGAGCCACTAATGAGGCTTGGTCTGTGTGAATTTCTCAAGCGTGTATGAAGGGGACCACAGTGTGAATGACTTCCTAGGGAATTCAAGTGTCCATTAGATGAAATTTAAATCTCATGGTTTGGTGTTACACTAGACAACTCACAATGTTAGAGATAAAGAACTTCAAGACAGTGTAAGGAAGTAGGGAATAAATTAACCACCCTGGTTCCAACAGTGTGATCTTGGACAGATCACTTCCCTTCTGGGTTTTATTTTCCTTTCTGCATCAGTGAGATGTAGGTTGAAATTAGATGAAATACAGATATTGTCATACTCTAGCAATAAAATTTCCAATGCATCTCCCTATAGTTTGAATCTGACCCATGTGTCTTTGTAGGCTGTATGGTAGGCAGCCTCCCCAGTAGCTCATGACACCAAGTGGTCAGTGACTCACTTCTCAATGGCACAAATGCTGAGGTATCACTTTGGTCTCAGTTTACTCTGGCTGCTGAAACCAAGTGCTGTAGCCTACATGATTTACAAATAGCAGACATTTATTTCACAGTTATGGAGCCTGGAAGAGCTCTGGCAATCTGTCTCACCAGAGCCTCACTCTTTTTAGGGAATCAGAGCACAGTGGGTTCTCAATGGAGAAAAGTGGTCCTCACTTATGGTCACATGATACCCATGTAACAACCCACTCCAGTTTGTACAGGAGGCACCTACAGCTTCATCTCCTGCAGCCCTGTCTATATCAGGGTGTGTATGCTCATCTTAGTTTCAGGTTTCCATGGAAGTAGACACTAGAAACCCAGTTCTGTCTCTCTTTTGCTAGGGCACAAGAAGAACCCGGGGAACTCGTGGACCCTCCTGCTCCTGTCAGTACCCTCTGGGAATGTTGTAAGGAGGATGGATGAACTAGCCCTTAGAAGGGTTGCCTTTGACCTCTTTTGTCTTATTCTCTCGTGATTTAAATCTTGCTTCTCCTTCTCTATCCCATATTTATAGTTCCCTTCTCTAAACGAGTGTTCTCCCATGGAAAAGTGGAGAAGAACATGGGCCCAAGTGAGGATGGAGGAGCAGGGCCCAGGATATCAAGGATATCGATATCAGGATATCGATTCCAAATCAGACCTGAAGAGCGTATGGAACATGTACCCCTGCTCTCTAAATAAGAAAAAAAAAAAAAAAAAAGTAAGAAAAACATAAACAACTCGTAGGGGAAAATGGGCAAAAATTAGACTAGGTGCTTCATTAAAAGAAACAATGGCCAAGAATGATGGAAACTTGTTCTACATTGTTACTCTTGAGTAGAATCCAAATTCCAACTAGCATGTAATGCCATTACGCAATGGCTAATGTGAAATCCACTGACAATATAAATGCTGTGAGGACACAGGGCAAGGGGAACCCTCATGCACTGCTGTGCTCATGCTGCTACAACCCTCTTCACAGATCCTAGGCAGTATGTGCCAGAGAAGGACCCCCACACCGTGCACCAGTGGTTCCACTCAGCTACGTGAGCAGCAGAAATGCCTCAACAGGTTCACCATGCCAAGGACATCTCACACCAACAATACTTGGCACTTCTCCAAACAGGAAACAACAAAGAATGAATATCATAAAATAAACAAAATGCATTATATATCTTTAAATGGAATATAATAATATAATCACATTCAAAATATATATAAAATAGACATAATAAACAAACGAAAGAATATTTTGTATGATTTCATTCGAATGTTTAAAAAGAAGCAATGTTCGCTCAAAAGTTAGAAAATGTATACTTTTGGGGAGGACAGAAAAGTAACTTGGAAGGGGATATAAGAAGGAAACCTAGGAGGTTGGTGGTGTTCTCCTTCTTGTGAGAAATGGTTATTGGGAGTTTTTCCCTTTCAGTAATTGATCTATACAAACTGCTCTACACACAAATTCTTTTGACTAGAGCCACAGCCTCTGGTGTTGCTGTTGTTTGCTTGTCCTGTTATTACTAAGGACAGTAGACGTAGGAATTAGTTTAAGACTTTGGAATTTCAGGCTCAAGATTCATATCCTGGGGCTGGAGTTGTGGCTCAGTGGTAGAGAGCTCAGTGGTAGAGAGCAGTTGTCTAGCATGTGTGAGGCCCTCTGTTTCAATCCTCCGCACCACATATAAATAAATGAATAAAATAAAGGTCCATCAACATATAAAAAAATATTTTAAAAAATTCCTATCCCACATCCTATCTGAGAGACAATGGTCACTTTGTTAACACTCAGTTTCTCACTGATTTAAGGAGTTAATACTGCTTCCTTTCTCATAGTGATTAATGAGATTTAACCCTCTCGAATATCATCCCTATGGTGGTCCCTGGGGCTCTGAGCTTTGAAAAAGACATGATTATATGAGGTAAAGGAAAGAGAATAACAACTTTCAAATCAAGAGGCGTTTTCAAAATGAAGAGATGATGCTGAGATGCAAGAAAAAAGCCCAAATGCCTTTTATTTTTGATCTCTTATCATTTCCAGATACGGTGATGATATATAAATGCAGGTGTTTGCAGCAGGGTTTGTGCAAGGTTGTGGTCCTGACAATCTCTCGTTGACAGTTATTATCAGATATAAGTGCATGGGATTCCTTCTTTCATAGCCTCCTGACTTTATTTATTTTTGCAGGGGTTGAGACAAGTGACTCCATCTTAAGCAGACAGCATTCCTACCTCCGCCTTTGATGAAGATCTTTCTGTAAGATCCTTGTCATTCAGCCGTGTTGTCTCTGGTTCTGGTTGTCTCCCAGTGCCAGGATGGACCTGCCCAGTGGTTGGTCTGGTCCTATTTCAGACACAAGTGACTGTCAACTAGGACTCAGTGTCTAGATCCAAGCCACACCGGCACAGCAAGGGACCTGGAAGGAGTGGCTCAGGCTGCTTTCCTGGAGACCAAGGTTGCATTCAATCTTGTCTCTCTGATGGACACTGGTGAGAAACTGAAGGAACCTGGCTAGCATTATGCTGTTAGCAGCTGAACTTCTGCACAAGTTTGGTAGAAAATAGGTACAAAGTTTTTAAGGAAAAAATATAGAATAAAAACAAAAGAAGGATAACAGTTCAGTTAGTGCAGTTGTTCTGATTCAAGGCAACCTATATGAACAGAAAGAACCCAGGGGACAAAGTGAGACTTGTGTAGCTACATTAGAGGGGATGAGAAAAATTTCAGATCTAGGCAAATCTATACACATGTATTATAAATTTGAAAACAATGAGTAGTGTCACTAACCACAATGGGTGTTATAGTTTTTCTTTGGAAATAATTTTCTCTATACCATCAAGCCAGTATACACAAAATATTCAGAGAAAAAACCAATTTGTTTGCAAAATCAGTTTTATCAAGTTTTACCAGATTATTTGCATAGAAGCTTGGAGAATACTTACATATCATATTGGTCTTGAAAAAAAATATTTTCAGACTGGCTAGGGATATAGCTTAGTTGATAGAGTGCTTGCCTCACAAAAAGGTCCTGGGTTTGATCCCCAGCATCATGAAAAGAAAAATAAAATTCAGCCTAAAAAGCTGTATACCAAGACAGATTTTAGTCTTGTCCTCTGTATCTATAAATAATTTAAATGACATCCCACTGAAAATTTCTTTAAAATAATTGTTTTCAATTTTACCCTGTTATAAAGAGGAAATTCTCTTGTAAGTAACCGCATTGCCAAAAAAGTAAGAATACTTTGAATTTGTTTTTAGTTTTTGAATTTTGGAGTATCAAGCATGGTGGAAAAGTAAACATTTCCACTTTGGTTCACAATCATAGCTGCTGTGCTGGATGCAATAATAAAATGCCGCATGCAAGGTTACTTTACAGGAAAAAAAGGTTTGTTCAGGTCCATTTCTCAGGTCCAGAGACAAGGCACTGGCATTGCTGAGTTCTGGTCAGGGTTCTTGGTGGCAGAACATCACAGTGGCTGGTGATGGTGGGACCACATGTGGAGTGAGAGCTCAGCTCAGACTCTGCTCTGCTCTCCTTTGTTCCTGCATTTCACAGTAAACACAACAAATGGTGCCCAGGCTGTGGCCAGAATGCTTTCCTGCTTTGACCTCTCCTTTGATGTCTTAGTGCCTCAGGCCATGGGCACAATGCAGGCAGATTCTCTGCCATGGTGAAACCAGGGGGTCTTTGGCTCAGTTTCCAGCAGAGCCCTCACTCCCATCACAATCTGCTCTCCTCCCCTCCTCCAAACTCTAAGGTCTTGGACCTGGTCTGCTCATCTTCTGAGCCCTCCCCAGGGCCACCTATAACCATCTGCTTGGAACACACCAGGGTTTTTCTACCTGCATCTCCAGACTCTTGTAACCTCTGCCTGGTCCCTAACTCCAAAGCTGCCTCCTGCCCTCAGGTAGTCTGATTAAAGAGCCTCCTCCTTGGCACCATGTTCTCCATTCACTCTCCATATGTCAGAGAAGTTCATTAGTTCACAGTTGAGAGAGTTTGAGAGCATGCTGCTTGCTCTGGCCCAGCCATGTGGGCTGCATTGCACCCTGGTAAATGGCAATGTTGGGAGCTCTTGTGGGAAACAGGTCACCTCACCAACCAGGAAGCCAGATGAGCCGGGGGGGAGCCAGGCTCTAGCTCCTGTACCAATCCCCTCATGAGCATGAATCAGGGTCCCTCACGGAAGGCCTAATCCCTGCAAGGGCACAGCACCAAACGTCTAAGCACCTCTAACTAGTAAAGGTATCACCACCTCCCATATCACAACACTGGGACCCTCTAAAGGTTTCACCACCTCCCATGTCACCACACTGGGACCAAGAGGCCAAACTAGGACCTTTAGAGACATGCCTACTCCACACCCAGATCACAGCACTCAGCAAATTGCTGCAGACTCCAAACAGCCTGAGAAAATGTTTTCCTAAATCTTGAAAACAAACACATTTACATAAAGAATAATGTTTCACATAAAACTCATATAGATACAATGATCAGTTAATTTGGTATCATATAATTAATTCTTGTTCTGTTTTCTAATCTAAAAATTTTAGTTACTCAGTTTCTTTATTAAAGTAATGAAAATATTTTTTCAGGCCATGGGTCTTAAGATGATCAGAAACCTATATGAAAGCATACTTGTCAATCATTTCCATGAATCTGATTTCAAAGTTTATATATACAGACAAAGCAAAATAACAACTTTATTTATAACAATGACTTAGAACATATATAGTTAAAAATTGGATGAAATTTCATAATTAAGATACAATTCAATTATTTCCTTTGTATGCATCATTTCCAAATAATAATATCAGGCCAGGACCAACAGTCATTTAGAAACTTCAGGTACTCTCCAACATACTCACATTGACACCATATCCATATCAATATGACTTTTAAAGGATTTATGATTACTATATAATTTGAAAATGTTCATATACAATTCAACACATCAAATTAGCCTGATTAGTTTAATATTTCCCTTTTTTATAAAATAAACATTTGAGAAGATCTAGGGGTCTCAGCAATATCCCAAATTTAAGTTAAAAAAAAAAAATCTTAATTTAGAACTTGGATTCTGGGGAAGTCCTGCCAAAGATGTTGAAACAGTTTTAAAATGTAGTTAAAACACTAACCATTGAGAAATCATATTCATTCAAAGGCAGTAACAACTGAAAAACTTTAAAAGAAAATAAATGCAAAAGAAAATAAAACCCTAAATTTAACTATTTCAAGACTCATATTGCTAAATAATAGAAATTAAAATAATAAAGCAAACAAGATATTATTTTGAAAGAAAATAAAAGCTTTGTTTTCCTAGGACAATTACAAAAGGTACAGAAACACTTCCTGCAATATGGGCGATTTTCTTTACAAGAAGCCCACTGATAACCTTAAAGCTGAATCACATTAAGTAATTTAAACTTGATTAGATACTAGAAGAATTTGTGCCCAAGTTTATGAGTTATATAAGAAAATCATTGCATTGAACAGGGCATATGTGACTCTTAGAAAAAATTGAAGCAAAGTTGGCCAGACGTGATGGCAACACCTGTAATACCAGTGGCTTGGGAGGCTGAGGCGGGAGTTTCATGAGTTCAAAGCCAGCTTCAGCAATAGCAAGGCACTAAGCAACTCAGTGAGACCTATCTCTACATAAAATACAAAATAGGGCCAGGAAAGTGGCTTAGTGGCCAAGTGCCCCAGAGTTCAATCCCTGGTACAAAAACAAAAAGCAAGACAACAGCAACAACAAAAACGAATAAAGTTGTCCAGTTACCCTGAACAATACAGACACATTAAGAAAAATCAGATTATATTGAAGGAAAATATTACTCTAAACTGTAAAACTACTGTCCAGGACATGGTTGAATATTTAAAAACAAACAAACAAAAAAAAACTTTCAGAAATTAAAAAAAATACAAATTAAAAAACATCTTCCATCCTTTTTCCCCCTAACACTAGGTCTAGAAAACTTATGTGATTTTTAGTATAGTGAATTAATTCTGATTTATATAAAATATTAATGCTCAAATTTTTAGAAAAATCTAGATATAATTTCCTCTAACTTAGAGTCAACATGGCTACTAAGAAAATTCCTTTTACAAAATTCATGTTGCATGAATACTTCGAAATTTCCTCTAAAGTTTTATGACTTATTTGGATCTATAACTTGCTTAATCCAGCAGATCTGCCCCGTAGTGCCCATAGCTCATTCAGGAATAATCCACCATCCTACTTTTTAAATTTTTTTTTTTTTTTAGTATCTATTTAGTTGCAGATGAACACAAAGTATCTTTATCTATTTTTATGTGGTGCTGAGGATTGAACCACACATGGTGTAGCCTTACAGATGCCAGGCCAGGGCTTTCCCACTGCGCTCAGGCTCCAGCCCCGACCCATAGTTCTACTTTAAGAGAAAATCTGATTCTACCACCCAATTTTCTTAAAAAACAAAAACAAAACAACAAAAAAAAAAAACCTGTTTCATCAAATGAATAGATCTTATAAGAACATGCTCATAGTTACATATTCCTTTAGACCTCTCACTTCACTCTTTTCCTTCTGCTTTTTTATTTTTATATCCATATCATAAAATCTTTGAATTTTTAAAAATTGTTCATATTTGTAATAGTTGCATCAACACAACTTTATATGCTCATACAATTTGTATAGAAAATCATACCCATCAATTAGAAATTCTAAGTCTCAGCAACTCTCACTTGTAGTGAAAACCTACGAAATTGGCAAAACTTTAAAAGTTTGTCTTATACCAAAAATTTAAGGATATGTAATTCTAGGACCCTATGCACTCCCATAACAATTTTTAAAGTGAAAACAGACACAAGTAATAATAGATTCAATTTTTTTTTTTTAAAAAGAGAAACATTTTAAGTAGTTGTTGCAAACCTTTATAATTTTATTTATTTATTTATGGTGCTCATAATCAAATCTTATGTCTCACACATGCCAGGCAAGTGTGCTACTGTTGAGCTACAGCCCCAGCCCCAGATTCAAATCTTTTTTGTTATCACAAAATTAAAACAAACCAACCAACAAAACAAACAAAAAACCAGAATGGATAAATTTCAACCTCATGATAACAGTTAAACATTCAGTATTTTAACTCAGAAATAAACGAAATATATTATGATACATAAATACACACACACACACACACACACATATATATATATATATATATATATATATATATATATGAGACCTATAAATCACATAATTCATAAGCATGTGTCACATTTATTTCTGCCTAATTTTTTTTTTTTAACCATTGCACTTAGACAACTTATGAAAACAGTAACCTTAAACAGAAACAGTCACTGGGTATCTGGCTGCTGGTGCCCTCCTCCTCCACTCTCTCTTTTCCCTGCTGCCATTACATATGCAGCTCTGCTCTGCTCTTCCAACAATGTGTTCTAAGTCATCTCGGACCAAACCAAAGAGCCACCCCAAGATGAACTGAAACCTGTGATCTGTGAGCCAAAGGAAATCTTCTCCCCTTAACTTGAATTTCTCGTGTTTTGACACAGCAATAGAAGGTTGAGTAACATGAAGAAAACTGGAACACCAGATGCCATTATAAGATCCATTACTTGCATAGGGTTTTCACCGTTTTTTGTTTTGTTTTGTTTTTTGTCTTTTGTCTTTCAAAAAAACTGGGAAATCAGACCTTTTTCACATTCAAGGCTTTTTCTCCATTATGAGTACTTTCATGCATAGGAAGGAAAATGGAATGTCACACATTCAGGAGGTTTATTTGCCAGAGCAAGCAAAATGGTTCTGAAGGCAACTAAGAACTTACATATACTCATTCAGATTTGTTGTAGTGTGAGTCCTTTCTTGTCATTGAAGGTGACTAGAAATATTAAATGATTTGCTACTCTTTTTTTTTGCATTCAAGGCCTTTTCTCCAGCACAAATTTTTTCATGCGTACAATGGGAACTAATAATGTAAGGCATTTTCCATTCTTTCCTCTAATAGGGTTTCCGTCTAGTATGAGTTGATGCTTTGAAATAAAGACTTTATTACCCCATTTACAAACACAGGGCTTCTTTCCCTTATGAGTTTGTTCATATTTTTTAAGGTGAATGGGCCTACTGAAGGTTTTACCAGATTCATTTGTAGGACTTCTCTTCAGTATGAGTTTATTCGTTGTCTATGCAGATGAATAACTGAAGGTTTCACCACACTGTTTATATTCACAGAACTTCTATCCAGTGTGAGTTTGTTCATGTATGTGAAGGTTGCTGGACTTAGTGAAAGCTTTTCCACAGTGTTTACACTGATAGGGTTTCTCTCCTGTATGAGTCCGTTCATGTGTATGAAGGTGAGTGGACCTAGCAAAGGCTTTTCCACACTGTTTACATTCATAGGGCCTCTCTCCAGTATGCGTCCGTTTATGTGTGTGAAGGTGACTAGATGTTGTGTAGGCTTTCCCACACTGTTTACACTCATAGGGCTTCTCTCCAGTGTGAATTCGTTCATGTTTTTGAAGGTAAGCAGAACTAATGAAGGTTTTCTCACATTGTTTACATTCATAGGGCTTCTCTCCAGTATGAGTTCGTTCATGTATTTGAAGGTAAGCAGAACTACTGAAGGCTTTCCCACATTCCTTACATTGGTAAGGCCTCTCTCCAGTATGAGTTTGTTCATGTGTTTGAAGGTTAGCAGAACTAATGAAGGCTTTCCCACATTGTTTACATTGATAGGGCTTCTCTCCAGTATGAGTTCGCTCATGTGCATGAAGGTGAGTGGAATTAGTGAAGGCTTTCCCACACTGTATACATTGATAGGGCTTCTCACCAGTATGACTTCGGTGATGTTTGTGGAGGTGACTGGATGTAGTGAAGGCTTTCCCACATTGTTTACATTCATAGGGCTTCTCTCCAGTATGAATTCGTTGATGTATTTGAAGGTAAGAAGAACTAGTAAAGGATTTTCCACATTGTTTACACTCAAAGGGTTTCTCCCCAGTATGAGTTCGTTCATGTTTATGAAGATGACCAACTGTATTGAAGGCTTTGCCACACTGTTTACATTGATAGGGCTTCTCTCCAGTATGAGTTCGCTCATGTATTTGAAGGTAAGCGGAACTAATGAAAACTTTACCACACTCCTTGCATTCATAAGGCTTCTCTCCAGTGTGAGTTCGTTCGTGTACTGGAAGGTAATTGGAACTAGTGAAGGTTTTACCACACTGTTTACACTGATAGGGCTTCTCTCCAGTATGAGTTCGTTCATGTGTGTGGAGGTGAGTGGATGTAGCAAAGGCTTTCCCACATTGTTTACATTGATAGGGCTTCTCTCCAGTATGAGTTCGCTCATGTGTGTGGAGGTGACTGGACTTGGTGAAGGCTTTCCCACATTGTTTACAGTGATAGGGCTTCTCTCCTGTATGAGTTCTTTCATGTAATAGAAGGTAATTGGAACTAGTGAAGGCTTTCCCACACTGTTTACACTGATAGGGCTTCTCTCCTGTATGAGTTTGTTCATGTGTGTGAAGATTACTGTACTTATTAAAAGCTTTCCCACATTGTTTACATTCATAGGGCTTCTCTCCTGTATGAATCCGTTTATGTATTTGAAGGTAAGCAGAACTTATGAAGGCTTTCCCACACTGTTTACATTCATAGGGCTTCTCTCCTGTATGGGTTCTTTCATGTATTGGAAGGTAAGAGGAACTAGTGAAGGCTTTCCCACATTGTTTACATTCATAGGGCTTCTCTCCAGTATGAGTTCGTTCATGTGTTTGAAGGAAAAAGTAACAAGAGAAGGCTTTCCCACATTGTTCACATCCATATGGTTTCTCTCCTGAGTGAGACTGTCCATGTTTTCGAAAAGACCTGGAACAACTGAACTCTTTTCCGCATGTCAAACACTTATAAGGTCCACTTACGGTGTGCACTGCTACTTGTCTTTGAATACTCGTGAGAGAAGTTAAAGATTTTCTCTTCTGTTTAAGTTCAGATGGCTTCCTTCTACTCTCCTCATTCTCAGATGGTATGATGTGGCTATTAAAATAAAAAGTAACAGGAAGATGTGTCTACACAGTTGCTTTCACATGGACTTACTCTAGTAGGAATATCCTTTTTTAAAGTAAATTTGAAATCTCACTGAAGGTTTTTCCACACTGAGTACCTAATTTTAATTTTCCAGAGCCTACAATGATTTCTATAAAAAGTTACAAGCAATATTAAGGGTTGGCTCTTTATTTCTTTTGTATTTATTAATAAGCCTTAGAAGTATATCATTACTAACATCAGGGAGTCCGGATTTACAGTCATGTCTAAACTTTGAAGGTAAATGCACTGATTAGTCTGCAACCCTGATTCCCCACAGGTAGAACTGAAAGAGTAGTATCACAAATGCAGCAAATAGTACTGGCAGCGTATCAATTATATTGAACATACTAAAATTCAATCCTATTCCTTAAAATTCACATTTCCAATACAAAATTTCCAGGAATAAAAATATTTCATTTGCGTTTATTTGATTTGTTAGCTAGTTCTTTAAGTTATAAGACATGCACAGTTCCCTTAAGGGATTCTGCTTCCTCTTGGGAGCATAAATTACCTTAGATCTCTCCCAGGAATTGTGTTCTGTTCTTCAATGTTCTGGTCCACCCATTTGTTTCCTAAAATGTTGGCCCAGAATAATCATTATGAATTAATGTAGTTTAAGAATAAATTACAACCCCGGCTGTGGTGCACACCTGTAATCCCAGTGGCATGGGAGGCTGAGGCAGGAGAATCACAAGTTCAAAGCCAGCCTCAGCAGAAGCAAGGCACTTAGCAACTCAGTGAGACCCTTTCTGTAAATAAAGTACAAAATAGGGCCGGGACTGTGGCTCACTGGTGGAGCCCCCGGAGTTCAATTCCCAGTACGCACAAAAAAAGAAAAAAGAAAAAAAAGAGACTAAATCATAGGAATCATACTGCTAAGTGCAATGACATCTGGCCTCATTTGCTCCCAGAGTAAAGTACACATTCTTAACTTGTGAGAAGAAAAATAAAAGTCCACATAATCTGCATTTGATTATGTAAATAAATGTTATCATTCTTACCTATAGAAGCCAGATTTCTAAGGACTTCCTGCATCACATCCCTGTGGAGACTCTTCTGGGAAGGATCCAACAAAGCCCACTCTTCCTGGGTGAAGTTAACAGCCACATCCTCAAAGGCCACTGAGGTCTAAAATATTACAAAAGTACAGTGCAGGCCAGGAGAGAATGACAGCATGAAGAATCTACTCTCTACATGCAAGATGTTCATATGATTTTGTGGCCTCCAATATCTCTTTCATTACTTGGTCATCAAAACTTGTATTCTCTATCCGTACTCAGTCTTCAAACAGAATAATTCTTATGTAAGAATGAAAGTACTTAGAAAATTAAGAGCAGAGCAAAAATACTCTTCTTGTTGTGGAGAACAAAGAGTAAGGTATGCTCCTGGGTCACCCATAATGTCTTCAAAGGGTGCATGTCTGCACATCATTTTTTTTTCCTTTTTTGGGGGTGCTGGGGATTGAACCCAGGTCACTATGCATGCCAGGCAAACATTCTACCAACTGAGCGATATAATGAAGCCATACTACCTCATGTGCAGAAGAGAGTTAATATTAGTCCTGATAGTACCTACTGTAAGAAATGCCTACTGACAAAAGTTGCATCTTTGCTGGAAGGGGAACTAAGGATGGAGAGGGATCCCAACGAACTAAGCAGTAAGGCTGAATCACAGTGTAAGAGTGTATTTAATGAAACTTTGCTTTCCTTTGGAAATTCTATTATTTTGCTCCAATATTATGTTAGAACTTAAAAAATTCAAAATCCTTCCTACCAAAACAGAATCCTCTGAGCAAAGAGTCTAGGAACTGCCCTAGTAGACCACATTTCATCCAGGTACTCACAATATGGTAACTGGGGATTGAGCTCATCCTGTGTGACTACAGCAAAAGAATAAGTAGAATTTAAGGTGCTTTACTCAACATCAAATTTAATCAACTAGTAAGCAACAACAGTGATAAATAAACAATTTGATAATTTATTCTGATTAATATCAAGATACAGTTGGATAAGTGTCAAATACTTTTACTGACATTTAACAAACAGAATTTCTAGTAATCACCAGAAAGTACTTTTCCAAGCCAAATGAAAATAAGAAATGTGTAACACCTATCCAACTGTGGTAGACAGCAGACTGTTGGCTTTTCCAATATACACTCATGTGCCACATGACTATGTTTTGGTCAAAGACATTTGGGGTTAATAATGCTACATATGCATGGTTATCCGTAGTAAAGAGATAACTGATGTGTTTATAGTGATGGTGGTACAAACAAACATACTGCATGATCACCTTTGGTATCTTGTTACGTAAGATGCTGTGCAAGGCTGTACCTGGGAAGCACCGTCTCCACTTAGCCTAGGTCTGTAATACGCTATTCCTTCTAGGACTGTGTAAACACACTTTGGTGTTTGTGCAATGGTGAGAAAGAAAATGAATTTTTAAGTTGATAATTTCTTCTGATTAATTATCTAATTATCTCTCTGCTAATCTTATGCTATTTCCAATAGTATATCTTAGATGTTCTTTATTTATAGTCTGGTGTCACTTAAACATCGTGACTATAAATACAGAACATCTAAGATATACTATTGGAAACAGCATAGAATTAGCAGAGCAATAAACAGAGAGAACAAAAGAAAAAAAAATCAGTGCCTTGGAATTCATATAGATGAGTAATAACGTAAGGTATACAAGTGGAGACATTCACAAGCAATTCAGAAGATGAGTCAAAACAAACTGGTATCTAATTTTTAAAAAATGCATTACTTCCCTCCATTCCAGACAAAATATGAATTCATTACAGATTCTGATGTGAAATACAAAACTAAAACACTTTCAGAAGCTTACAGGAAATATTTTCCTAGAGGAATAGGGAAAACATTTTCACATAACAAGAGTAAGCAATAATGAAGAATGAGAAATTCAAACATTAAAATTAGAGGAATAAAAAGATGAAAACACCTGCAAGAGGGGAGACACCTACAATATGCGACACAGAGAGTTAGGGTGCCGAGCACGCGGCTCAGGGGGCTGAGGCAGGACAATCAAATGCAGGATCAAAGCCAGCCTCAGCAACGTAGCAAAGCCCCGAGCAAATGGGCAACAACCTGGCTCTAAATAAAATATTAGAAGAAGCTGGGGATGTAGCTCAGTGGTTAAGCGCCCCTAAGTAGAGAGAGAGACAGAGAGAGAGAGACAGAGAGAGAGAGACACGGAGAGATGGAGCACGTGCACACACACACCAGGGCCCAGAGTGAGAATAATCAACATATGACTCAAATGGGAAATAGCCAGACGTGGGACAGAAGGTGAAAGCTGCCTATGGAGAAAGGACCACCTCTGGGTGAAGAGAAGCCCAGGAGAAGGCCAAGCAGATGAGCACTGACACCCACTGCAGGCCCAGCGCCCCTCAGTCAGGCAGGATGTGGGTAGTGGGGAGAGCAGGACGGCTGCCTGTCTAGTGGTATTTCCTCACACCTAAAATTTACCATGACCTGCAGCCCAGAGACTTTTTCTGTGTATTCTTAGGGGTCCTCACAAATTCACGTCTTACCTCCTGAACTGCTGCCAGGCTCACACAGTCAAGATCACAAAAAACTGCCCTTTGCTGCCAGCACAGGGAGGAAAAGGAGCCATTTCCAGCACACCCAGAGAACTCTATCTTCCTGAGCCTACATTCAAAGGAAACTACTTCTCCAAGGCTGAGTCACCCAAGACATTATCAGCAAAAACTTGTGGGGAAAAAGAAACACTGAGCCCAGCTCCCCCTAATCTTCCTGCCTAGGTCAGGGAGGAGGAAGGGCTGAGGCTCTTAGAAACAAAGCCATGAAATGATCTCGTAAGTAGAAAATTCTAAACTGTGCATGCGCTGAAGAAGAAAACGCAAATGCCTGGAACTAAAAAATAAAGCCAAGCTGTACACCACCACAATAAACACAACACACTTACATCCACTAAAACACGAGCAACCTGAAAGCCATCACAGAAGATCAAGAGTAAAAGTATTTAGAAATTACCAAGAAGACTTTACAAAAACCACAAAATATTTCTGAAAGAAATGACACACATAAAAATATCTACCATTTTTGAGCTCAAAGAATTATAAATCTGCCTAAAAATCAACCATAGGTCAATTCACTGCCTTTCATAGTATCAATGACATTTTTATACAAAATAAGAAGTACTATTCTAAGATTCACGTGGAATTGAAAGAAACTCAACAATGGAAGAAGAAAAATAAAGTGTAAAGTGATTTCAAAACCTGCTTTAAAGGAGTAACAAAGGGAGTGTAGAACTAGTTTAAAGGCAGACACACAGAGCAGTGAAGGAGGACAGGGGGACCCAGGACCATGCAGATACACAGAAGGAAATGATGTCTCTCAAGGGGCCACGGTCATTCCAGGGGACCAGGATCTCTGGAGAATGAATGGCTGGGAAACTGGATGTTCATGGCAGCACCTAAAGTCAGATGCTCCCCTCACAGCACACGCATACATGAGATCCATGGGGACCAAAGTCCTGAAGTAAGATGTGAACCTCACCAATTCTTAGAAGAAAATGCAGACCACATGTCTCACAACACTGGATTTGGGGATGATTTCTGGGATATAGTACCATCCATTTGATTCATGAGAATAATAGATAAACCTAATTTCACCAAAAATAGCTTTTAGGCCTTTCATTTGCAGCAACGAAGCCAGGACTATTGAATACCATCCTAAGTGAAATAAGTCAGGAAGAGAGAGAGACACCGACTGTGTGTTCTTACACAGCAAAGCTCCAAGTTGGCTTCACAGAAAGTACAAGGGTATTCACCAAAGATGAGGAGGAGAGAGGAGAGGGGACAGCAGGGCTGGGTATCAGAGTCCACTCAGGAGGAGCCAGCACTTCTGCTCTCCAGCAGAGTAGGTGGCCATAGTGCACAACATGTCACTGTGGTTTTCATAATAAAGCTGGGGAGCAGTCCACTGACCCTAAGAAATGATAAATGTTAGAAATGGAAGAGCTAGTGCCCTGATCTGATTAAGATGCAATGAAACAGGTGTACAACCAGCTCACTGCACCTCATCCACATGTGCAACTTAAAAGTGAATCAGCATTAGAAAGGAAAATGTTGTCCTTCATAGGACACCGTCAGCAAGTGAAATGGCACTGGAAGGAATTGTAGAAAATACCTGCACATTGTGCATCTGGAAAGGAGCTGAAAACTTGAAAGAATGAAGAAAAACCAGCTGACAAAGCTCAACTCCTTCTGACATAAGGATGCAAACCTAACTGTAATAAAATGAAACACCTTAAAAAGTGCCAGAGATCTACAAAACCTACACTGAAGGCTACAAAGAAGGATGAAAGGCTGTCTTCATGACAACAAAAACAAGTCAAGGATGCCTGCTCTCACCACTTCCAGACAACACAGCAAGAGGAGTGCTACCAGGGAAGCCAGGAAAAAAATCCCTGTGTTCCAGACTTCAGCCAACTCACGTAGCCCCAGACAGTGGGACAAAATCAAGGACTTCACCAAGCAGATGGAGGTGGGCATAGGCAACTCAGACTCAGACTATCACCTGCAGAGAGAACAGGCACCAAGATGGGAGGAGACAGTGCAGCCTCTGCACCCTTCACCATCTCGTTTCCCATCAATAAGGACTACCTGGCAGTGGTACCTGTTTGACTTGTATTTCTAGCTTTCTGCTCCCTAAAGTCTCTACTGCAAGGGGTCAGGAACACATGATGGTGTTTCTTCACTGCTGTTCCTACCAGAAAGCATGCAATATGGGCATAGATCCACACTTGATAAGTCCCAGGGCTCTAAGACACACACAAATACACACAGGTCTCACACAAACGTCCTGGCAGGCCCATGACCCCTCAACTTTCACAGGCTGAAGTGATCAACCATATCTCATGTATCACAGTGCTGGCTCCTGGATCCCAAGCCATTCCCCACAGTTGGGATAACCCAAATGAGTTCACACTGTAGATCCACATAAAATCCTGTGCTGCAAAACTTACAACAGCAGTACACGATTTCACTGTAGAAATTGAAAATATCATACAACATTGCAAGGGATCCAGAATACCACACAACTCTGAAAAACAGAGCAGCAATTTGACTAGCACTTTAT